GCTGACCTCCTGCTGTACTGTGGGAAGTCGGGGAGCTGGGCAATGAAGCAAGGAGGGGCAGGGCTGCTGGAGACATCAGGGCTTTGTGGCTCCGTGGCACTGATCCATGCAATGAGTTGTTCTCTTTCCTGGCTGTCTACTTCCCCCAGCACCTCGTCCTGAAGCAGATCACCCTTCAGGTATTTCTCTCTGACTCTGGAACCATCTTGGTTCTCCCAGGGATCCTCGAGAGCACCTGCCACGTCTGAAACAGCCAGAGCATCCCCCCAAACGGCGACAGCTGCCTTGCTACACCTACTCTATGCAGACACCCACCCGCCAGCTCTGCGTCCTCAAACTCATCGCTGATCCAGGTGAGCAGCTCCTCAATGTCCACCATACCATCCAACACATCTGAGCTGATCACCACTGCTAGAAATGAGTCACTGGTTCAATTTTACTTACACAAAAACACATGTTGGAGAAGCAGAGCTCAAGCATTCTCGTTGGACATCTGAACTCTTACCCATCATGAGCAGAGGGTGAGAAATCTTACTCAGAATCCACAACGACAAACGATGCTTCCATGCTGATTGCATTCCATGCCACAGAACGGCCAAAAACTCCGTCAGCCAAGCACTGGCAGAAAACAAGAGTACACATTTTTAGCATTTCATCATGAATTGAAAGTATAGACTCAGTTTACTATTAAAATTAAAAGGGAAAAAAATCTCTATACCTATGTATGTTAGTCTCCAATTTGCCAGGCATCAGTTTTCAATGGAGAAAAGCCACATTTGACATCTGCTTCTATAGCAGAGTCCATCTGGCTTTTAAAAGTTATTCTGTTGAGGATAAAGACGTGAACATAGACTAGAACCTCCTCTCGCTCTCATAATAGAAGCGACTTGGTGCCATCTCTTTGAAGAGGGACGATGGGGACTCTCCCAAGACCCCTTGGTTCTGACAGATGTGGTGGCCACGTTCCTCAGAGCCCTGGCACCCCGAGATCCTCATTTTCCAATGTGGTGCTCTCTTCCAATGACACACAGAGTAGAGCAAAGCCCATGATTTTGCTGCATGTGAAAGGTGTGGCTAAGTGGGAGGCCTGAGAGGAGACTTTTTCCTTCCAACTCACTCTCCTTTAGATCCCTGGTGGGAATAGAAGGGGTTTTTGGGAGGCGCTGGGAGCAAGACATTGCAGCTGGGCGACTTGTAGGGAAGGGATAAAGAGAAGCAGAGAAATGTCTGCCTGCCCTCAGCGTTCTGACCTGAAATCCTCCCCAGGGTATGCATCCAGGAGAAGAACTGTCCTGTTTTTTGAGAAGTTTCTCTTGTACAGAAAATCATTGGCTGTTGGACCACAGGGAAAGAGATGGAAGAAAATGCAAGAAAGGCCTTGTACCAGGTCAGGTGTAAATTATCCTGATATTACAAGTAGAATAGGAGGGAATATCACAACTGTTTCCAAGAAGCTATTATCACATCACCCACCCCAATTGCTCATTACTGTGACTTGTAGTGGACTTTCCAAGTCACAGTCTGAACCAATACATGAGCACGAGTGCCTGGTGCAGGAGAGAGATGAGGCTGCATTCCTCAGCTCCCCCCCTCCACATCCCTCCCTGCACTGTTTTGCCTCTGTTTGTTCCACACCCCCTTGCCTGGTTCACAATTAAGTGAAATGCCGTTCTGAAACGATTCTAAAGAAACGCGTTCCACATCACTCATCTTCCTCAGTGCCACACTGTGTAATCAATGACTATTAAGATGTTATAATTATGAAATAAACAAGAGAGTTTGATGAAGCAGACTATGATAACAAAAAGAGAACAAACAGAAGGCTTACCCCTACCCAGGGCTCACTCACAAAACTCCAGCAGGGCCAATCTCCAGAAGAGCTCCTTCCCCACTGGCAGCCAGCTCTGAAATACGTCCAGGAGAGCAGCACAGCTGAATTGCCTTCACTGTGCTCCTCTGGCTGACTCATGGCTCGCCTCAGGTGATCACTCAGAGGTTCAGGCCGTGACTTAGCAGTTCCCATATGCACACCTAAACATTTCCTGAACGCCTCCAGGGAATCTGACTGCAGTCCCTCCCTGGGCAGTCTGTCCAGGGTCCAACCACTCTTTTGGAGGAGTTTTTCCTAACGTTCAGCCTGAGAGAACTCTTGTTGCTCTCAAGGTTCTTTCATTTCTTCACAAAGCTGTTTCAAAATCTTCATCTGGGAGGGAGCACGTGAACCTAATGAGATTCAGCAAGGTCAAGTGTAGGGTGTTGCACCTGGGTCGGGGCAACCCCAGATATCTGTGCAGGCTGGGAGAAGAACTCATGGAGGGTGGCCCTGCTGAGAAGGACTTCAGCGTCCTGGTGGACAAAAAACTTCACCAGAGCCAGCAGTGAGAGCTGGGCTTGTTCAGTCTGGAGAAGAGAATACTCTGGGGTGTTGTAACCTTCACCCATTCATTTTCCCCGGGAGACCGCAGCTTGGCCAATTACCGAGGTGACACCAATATGGTGAACAGCAAAATGGCGCTTTAATGAAACTAACACGTGCTTATATATGGAAAGGGGAGGGCCTAACGCGTTACAACCCGAAGATGGCGCAAGCGCCTAATACAACACTGGGGAAACCTGATGTGGCCTTCCAGTAATTAAATAGGAACTTATAAGCAGGAGGGAAGGGTGGTGCTATAAAGACTATAAACTATAAAGACTAGAATGTCTTGAACCTCAACAAAATAATTTCAAAAGTCAGATGGACTCTGTTACAGAAGCATGTTACATGAGAGCAAATCTGACTGCAGGAAAATCAAAACCCTTTCATGGTGACTTTGGTAAGTAACCTGCAGAAAACACAACAGGCATAATGTGTCCTGATTAAAAAACAAAAACAAACCGAAAAGGACAGGTGCCTGTATCAGATGTCCATGGCTGCAGAGGATCTTCCAGAAGGAGGCAGCAGAACCTTATGCTCACACTGCAGTACAGGAGCAGAAAACTACCGGGAATCTCTGGGTTCCTCCCGGGAAGGCAAAACTGCACAGAGATGCACCAGCTGGGTTTGGCAGTGCCCTCCCACCCTCAGATTTCTTGCACACAGCTTCACGTCGCTCCCCTTCACCCTGTCCTACCTCAGAGACCCAAGGAGCACTGATTTGGTACAAAGTACAGCAGTGTCGTGTTAAAATGCAAGTTGTGTTTTCATTGTCAGGGGTATTACAGCCCAAAGCTTGGAGCACTGCCTCCAAAAACCGTGCCAGGATGGCGGCTTGGTGCTCCGAAGCTGCATAGGTTCTACTCTGGACCAGTAGGAGTGCAGCAGCTCATGGAATGCCACAGGACAAATAAGGCCATGCGCTCTTTGTCGACGTCTAATTGTGGCTGTTTTTTATTGACTACAACCAAACTCGTGGTGCCGAGTTGGCGGCACTCGGAGCGCTGCCCTGTAAAGCTGCGCTGCAGTGCTGCCTGCTGATGCTCGTCCTCTCAGTCCTTCAGCTGCAGCTTCTGCATCATCTCCACAAGGCTGTTCATTGCGGAGCACTGGAAAGAAACAAGGCAAGTTAGAGATAGGACAGGAACAATCTGGGGAGATCTCCCTAAGCAAATATGATCAGTACACTTGCAGAATGGCTCCATGCAGCACAGCACGTTCCTGCCATTCAGGTCACTGGCGTTACTTCCCACAGAAGCTGCCTATGGTAAGATTCATGCTCTGCTGGGGGAACGAGGTTTCCAAGGTCGCAGTGCCTGACATGGCAAGGCTCTTTATCACAGCAAAACCCTCCGGCCGTTACCAACATGCCCTTCTCAAGCCGGAGAAAGGCACCCAAGCTCCCCTGGGCAGCTCTCACTGACGGCTGATTTCCTCAAACACACAGCTGAGTGTTTTTCTTTTAAACTGCTTGCCCTGGGATTCTGCAATATCTGTCATGTCTGACAGATGGAGGCACTGAGCACAGCAAGAGCCGTGTCTGTGCTCACCAAGGACTCACCTCTGCACGTGCAGCAGCAGCTCTCAGAGCAGCCTTCTTCAGTTCCACTCTTCTTGCTTTTCGTTGTCTTCTTGCTGTAAAGCAAGAATAAAACTGAATTCATTTTGTCTGTAGCAAAACTGCAGAAACATGGGTACCATAAAAACAGATGTCAGGAAAAAGATAAAGGAAATTGGAAGCCTCTCAGTGAATGACATTTCCAGTGGAAAGGTGCAGAAGACCACCATGGAGGTAACGGAAAGAGATGGGGTTACATGGCACCTCACTGCCTTGGGCCTTCGTAGGCTTCAACTCTTTTCCCCTCTGCAGAGAAGGAAAAAGCAAAGCAAACCCTCTGCAACTTCAGTGTGCTTGATAAGGGCAGCACTGCCCTACAGGGTGGTAGCACAGCACCTTCTTACCTCTCAGCTTGGAGCTCCGTGCTGCACCAGGCCCAGGCTGTGCTGCTGGAGCCGGCACGCTGCCTCTGCTCTGAGCCCTCACTCTTTTGTTAGCAGGCAGCTGCGCTGCTCTTTGCTGCTCTGCTTCCAAGCCCTTGCATTTGCCTCCAGCCAGGGACTTGGAGACAGAGCGGGGGCACACGGCAGGGGAAGGTCTTCTCCCTGAGCTGGGACCTGCTGCTGTGGGAAGCCCTCCAGCCTGGAGATGAGCTCTCTCTGAAAGGACCTCCTGCACCGCTTTCGCATAGATCTTGGCACTGGGCTCAGCACCTCTCTCTGGCAAGAAAAGAGAAGCAAGAAGATACGAGAGTGCGATACTGCTTTCAGTCTGCAGAATGGGCCACAGTGCTGGGACATCTCATCTGGAGTGGTCACGGACCACTTTCATTTCTTTTTTCCTTTTTTATTAAAAAAAAAAAGAAAAAAATTACTTCTATACTGTTGGAACTGTATTATTAATAGGCTGTGATTCCCATCCTACCCACCCCCTAAATGCATGATTTCTAATAAACACAATTTAGTGAAGTAAGTGTAGATGGAAGCAGTTTTAATTAATGCACCTGTATCAGTGTCTGGCTTTAGAAATATATAGAGCAGAGTGTTAATGCACGTACCCTGATGCAAGTACAGTGACCAGAAAGTAACTCAGTTTTGATGGGAGTACAAGGGAGTATGCTGCTGAATATTAAAGGCAGTGAGATACAAATTTGTAACAAACTAGAAGTCTGATTAGAGAAGTGCACTTACTATTATAGAAAGGCTTGATTTACTTAGAAAATAGATAAAAACACAACCACAATATAAATTAGAATGTAGGCCGAACAACAGAAGGGTAGATGCTACAACACTGACAAAGTTTAAGCGTGTGCCACTTTTGTTGAGAGGAGCAGGGTATAAAGGTATACATGTAGGACACATAGATTAGTTAACAGTAAGAGACTTTGTGTGTGTTTTTGCTTCCATTATATTTATTACTTTGTAGAGACTTTTGTGAATGTTAGACTTCTTTTATTGCTTCACTATATTTATGTATAAAACAGGTTGACTATGCTTTTTTAAAATAAACAAGCAAAAAAAGTCTGTGTGAATGCCTCTGTCATCTTTTGTAGGAAGTTACCAGTGAAGAGCTGGTATGGCTTTTTTTGATTTTTTTTAAACAAAACTGTTTAGACCAGTCAGCATCAGAGGCAGTAACTGTGTTTTTACTTAAACAGATGGAACACTTCATAAATCCTTAAGCAATGTGTCCTGACTACTTACATATGAGTTCAGATTATTCTTATTTTTTTAACTAGATATAGGTACTAGCACAAAAACTGGCATGGCAATAGACGCACTTAACTATAAGTTGCATTACAAAAGATCTGTTTTTTGTTTGTTGTTTTTAAATATGTACTTTTTTTCTTTTTTTTTTTTTTTAATTAAACTTCATTCTTCTCCCCACAAATGGTTGGTGCTTGACTGGGACTGTTCTTGCTTACTGATGAGCCATTTGGTTCCACAGAAAATGGAATATGCCTTCAATTCCCTCTAGTTGCTACGCCTTTGCAGCAGCATTTCTTTTCAAAACTCTGGCAATAGTCATTAAAATCAGTGAGGACTATATTGAAATTAGTGAGAAATTGGGTTTGAAATTATTAAGCAGTGGTCAAAACTCAACAATGTACTGAAATGTGTTTGAAGTTCATAATGCTTGGGTTGCTCCTTGGTCCTCGTGAAGATGTTTCTGAAAAATGTAATGCCTTGTATCTTTTTTGATCATCATTGAGTTAGAACTCTGGGTTTGTCTTTTCATTTTGGACACAAAATCAATCCACAAACGTTGCTCAATTTAACATGCTCCTATTTCTCTCTTACCTTCTAAATGCATCTCATGCACTCAAATAGGCTCCAGATGATCTCTTAGAAATATTATGAAACTATAATTAGGTACAATGGTGGGTATTTCTTACTGCGGTTATGACTGGACACAATAAGAAAGGGTAGCAGTATATAATACAGTTAACCAGATACTTTAAAACTAACGATACAAAAATCTAGTTTATTGCTTTTGTAACTAAATTTCTATACGTAGAGAGTCAACGCAAAGGGGAAATTGTATTTAATTTATTCCACATGGAAAATCTGCATGGCCATTCACAAAGAAGTATTCTATTTTGGTGGAAAGAAAAAGTACAAAATCCCTGAAATTTTTAATGTTACATCATGTAATTTACATGTAGAGGATTGTTAGCTGATGAATTCAGGGGAAGACACTGCTACACACTCTACTCCAGCTGAACTTACACCATGCTCACTACAGGTGTGCCAAATGCAAAATTGTACATAGTTAATCAAAGATTGAAACATCACTCATTGTCAGTTATTGTCCTA